CATGAGATGCTCCATGACCTGAATCCTTACTGTTCCACTGGCTGGCCTTCCTGCCTGGAATGTTCTTACTCCTTACCTCTGCCTCTTAGAATCACTGGCTTCCTTCAAGATTCAGTTTGGATGCCACCTTCTGTAGGAGACCTGTCAGACTTTACCCTAGCAGCTAGTTCTTTCCCGTAATGTTACCTCGTATCTACTTTGTATCTTAAGTAAGCCTGTTGATTTACTTGTCTTGCTCTTTAGAATGTAAGTTCCTTGAGGGACTATTTTTGTTTTTTCCATATATCTTGAATGGACTTTTGAGTATGTATGGCTAGAAAGGTGATTGTTAAATGAAGAAAGGCAAAAATTGGGTCTCTGCCCTCAGAGTTCACTGTTTTAATGGAGGAGACAAAATGTAAATAACTGTGTAAATACAAGATATGTACACAGAGTAAATGGGAGGTATTCCCAGAAGGAAGATACTAGCGGTAGGGAAGGGAATGCAGCATGCTACACTGTGTGTTCTTTGACTCTATCTCATTTGAGTCTCTCAACAGCCCTGTGAGGGAGGTGCTATGATTATCCTCATTTTACAGTTGGGGTAACTGAGGCAAATAGAGGTTAAGTGACTTGCCCAGGGTCACAGCTAGTAAATGAAGCTGAATTTGAACTTAGGTCTTCTTGGTTTCAGAGCCAGAGCTCTCTCCACTAATTGCCTTTCTGGTGGGGAAGGGGGGAGAGAAAAGCCTCTTGCAGAAGGTGGAATATATGCTTTTATACTCAGTCTTAAAGGAAGCCAGGAGGTACTTGGATCTCTTGATCAAAGAGTATGAACATTTTAGTCACTTTTTTAAAGAGCACAATTTCGAATTCTTTCCTGAATGGTAAACCCAGTTCACTACAGTGAGAGCTGTCTTGTTTTTTCTGTTTGTATCCCTAGCATTTAGTGCAATGTGGGGCACATAACAAACACTTGAATGCTTTTTTAGTCATTATGTCATGTAAAAATAAGACACTAATGGAATTATGTACATATATGTGTATTTTAATCCTATTCTTATCTAAAGTACACATGGAATGAATTCAACCTTTCCCCAACTGCACTGGTTGAAATTCTTTCCTGGACTAATAGAATAGTATGTTTGCGTGCCTGACTTCCTATGGCAGTTCCAACTTTAACTGTTGCCATCTTTTGTCGTATTTGCCAGTTTGCTGGTTGCAAGGTGAAACCTCAGAGTTATTTAGGTTTGCATTTATCATAATAATTTGGGGAAATCTTTCATGTTGTTAGTAGTTAGTAGTTTGCAGTTCTTTTGGAAACTGTTTATTTGTAACTTTTGACCAGGTAAGAATCAAATCCACATCTTCCTGGTTCTGAGGCTATAACTACAATGTGTTGAATCTATGTTATGACTTTTGTTAATTTTTTAGAATCTTACCATCTCACTTCCCAATAGTCTGCTCCCCAAGTCTTCCTTGTAACAAAGTACAGTTATGCAAAATAAACTGACACATTGACCATGTCAGATATAGCTATGCCTCATTCTATACATGCAGTCAGTCTGAGACCTTTCTACAAATCAGAATGAAGTCATGTTTAATCATCAGTCTTCTAGATTCAGCACTCATCATTGAATTTATCTGAATTCTGATCTTACTGCTGTCTTTTCCATTATTGTAATTATTATGTGTATTAGTCTTCGTGTTCTATTTATTTCTGTATCAGTTCAAACAAATCTTTCCAAGGTCCTTTGAATTCTTCACATTGGTAATTTGAAAGGTTCCATAAATGCTTTAATTTACTTGGTATAACTGAGAAAAAAATTATTAAGCAATTAACCTTTGTGGAGAGAAGTGTAAATGTAGTTTTCTCGATCATTTCTTGCTGCCAGTATTAACTTGTAATTTTGTCCTTATCAAGTTCTGAAACATACCTAATTTCTTTTTTTAAATTTAAAAATATTTTTTGTTTAGTATTTTATTTTTCCTTAATTACATGTAAAAACAATTTTTTAACATTTTGTTTTTAAAACTATGAGTTCCAAATTCTCAAAAAAGTATGCTTCCATCTGTATTCAGACACCGTCAGTTCTTTCTCTGGGGAAGGATAGCCATTTTCATTGTAGGTCCTTCAGAGTTCTCTTGGGTCATTGTAGTGCTGACAATAGCCGTCCAGCTGATCATCTTACAATATTGCTATTACTTTGTGCACAGTACGTGTCATTTTGCATCAGCTTCTATAAGTCTTTCCAGGTTTTTCTGAGAGCATTCTGCTTATCATTTCTTATGGCACAATAATATTCCATCACAATCACATGCCACAATTTGTTCAGCCATTCCCCAATTGATGGGCATCCCCTCAATTTCTAATTCTTTGCCACCAGGGAATAGCTGCTATAAATATTTTTGTACATACAGGTCCTTTTCCTTTCTGTTTTTTGTTTCTTTTTGCATACAGACCTAGTAGTAGTATTGCTAACTGTAAGGGTATGCATGGCTTTATAGCCCTTTGGCCATAGTTCCAAATTGCTCTACAGAATGACTGAGTCAAGTCCTACCTAATTTCTTAATGCTAAAGGGGAACAATGCAAAGATATCATAAATTCAATTATAGACATGACGTCTATTTTTTCAAACTAAATTATAAATGCTTAATTGCTTATGTACTCCATGGACCTGAACTCCTTTGGCTCAGGAACGTCCTAGTTTATGGAATAAAAAATGGTCCAGTTTAGGATTTTTAAAATAAAACATAAATATAAAACATTAAAAAAATTTGGAAGTTAGCTTACAAAAGTTTAAAAACATAAGAGTTGTTAAGTTTGACTTTTGGGATTTATATTCCAGCCAATGCCTTTATGCTTCCCAACAACTTGAGATTTAAAGTCCCAGGAGAAAATTTCTCCTGTTTACTGTATATCTTTATTTCAGTTTGTAGTGAAGCATGGAATTTAGCAGTCATCAAAAACTAGGAAAAAATTTAGAAGACCTTTTGAATAGCTTTAACTCCATGTGTTTGAGCTTTTGTTAACCTCATTTGCATTTTGGAGCAAAACATGATCAGACAGTGAGAAAAGTATCACCTGCTAACTGCTAAAAATGGACAATGCTGTTTTCCAGAAACCCAGTCCAGCATATATGCTAATGGATTCTTAATCTAATTTTTCACTAAATGAGTTACTTTAAAAAAAACCTCATTTTATTTCTAAAGATATATATGACTTCCCTAAAAGTAATATAAAATTTCATTTTTTGGGACTATTTATACAAAATTATATAGAATTTCTAAATCACTTGATTTAGAGCTGCTAAATGAAATTTAAGTGTATTGACACTTAAGGATATGAGAAATATTCAGTGATATTGCAAGTTCTTCCTCTAATCTATCCTTTCCCAAGAAAAGAGAAAATTAGTGGCAGCTAGGTGGCAAAGTGGATAGAGTACCGGCCTGGAGTTAGGAGGACCTGAGTTCAAATATGACCTCAGACTCTTATTAGCTGTGTGATCCTGGGCAAGTCACTTAACCCCAATTGTCAAAGAAAAAGGTTTTTTTTGTTTACACTTTGAGTATTTTGCCCTTCCTAATTTCTCATCTTAATCTCCATTGCTGAAATATTTCCAAAATAAATGAAAGTACACATTAATTACCTCTTTAGAATGTGAACTCTTTGTGGGCAGGGACTCTTTTTTGCCTTTTGTTGTGGTTTTATATCCCTAAACATTAAACACTATTGGGCAGAGAGTGAGCACTTAATGCTTGTTGACTGCATTTATTAAGGGTTCAACTATTTAGTTTTAATTAAATATCCAAATAATCTAGTTTATCTAGTATTCACAGTTTGAAGTGGGGGAAAATATTTAGCTTCTTTCTACAGGAGTTCTTAATCTGGGGTTCGTGAGCTTGTTTTTAAAATGTCTTAATAACTATGTCCATATAAATGATTTCCTTTGTAACTATATTTTATTTTATACATTTAAAAACATTCTGAGAAGTGGTCTTTAGGTGTCACTTGACTGCTAAAGAAATCCATGACACATAAAGTTAAGAATCCTTGCTCTATCCTATTCCCAATCTAAACCCTACCCTTGTCCCAGCACCACTTTTTGGGAAGACATTAACTCATATTGGGATTATAGTGGTTCAGAAGTGGGGGAACCGAATTAAAGCTACCCAAAAGGAAAAAACCAAATGATCTCTTGTCCCACGTTCTGCAAACAAAAGCATTCCTAATCTGAAACGTGATTAAGTCTGACAGAGTTACTCTAGGGGTGTAAATTTTGAAGTCTTCATTATCTGTCCTAGAACAAATGTAATAGTATCCCAATAGAATTAACTCAGGTTTTAGAATTAGCCCCTTTTGCCTCCAGCATAGGGAGGAAGGTTCATTGAGAAAGTTATTCTGACTTAGTTGATTTGACATCGTAATCAGTTTATAACAATATTCCAGTTACACAGGCCGCTGTTGGGTTAAAAAAAAAAGTGAATCCCCTCCAGAGGCTGGAAGCAGAGGAACACTAGTGGCCGGTTTAGGTGGTTTTCTTTTAAAGAGCGTCTCAGAACCTCTACTTTTACAGATAGGTAGACTGAGGCCAGGGGATCTCGCTGAATACAGGTAGAGGTGAAAGTAGTAGTTATGGCATCTGGTAAGTCATAGCTTCCTTCTTAGGCTTCAGGGGTCAAGCTGCTAGGGGTGGTGGGCAGCCACGCGGAGCCCCCTTTCTCAAAGTAGCAGGTGGATAGAGAAGGAGGGTGGTAGACAGTGCGCTTCAGCTCCCGCTGTGAGCATGCGTCAAGGGACGGGGCGGGCTGACCGGGGGCGGGTCCAGGCCGTACCCCCTTTAGCCTGGCGCGCCTGGGGATTGGCCAAGACGGGGAGGAGGCGGGCAGAGAAGGACTTGCAGCCTCGCTTTGCTCCTGCAGCAGCCAGCCGCGCGGGGGAAGCGGCGCGGGTTCGCTCTGGGGAGCGCATTTGCTGCCAGGCTGCTGAGGAGGGAGGAGGACGAGGAGGAGGAGGAGGAGGAGGAGGAGGAGGGGCCGGAGCCTATGACTTCACAACCAGGCAGCCCTAGAGCAGGCGGCGCCGAGACTGCAGGTTCTTCAGTCTGCAAGGAGCTGCCACAGCGGCGGAGACGGCGGTGTTTCCTCCCGGAGCCTGCCACACGGGGAGCTCGCTGGAGAGCCCGGCGGCGCGGGCTGCTAGAGGCTGGGTCCCGGGACCCCGCGGCGTGGTTCAGGTGCGGGGCTGCGGCGCCAGGACGGGATGGAGGAAGGGGAAGGGTCGTGAGAGGGGGAGGGTCGGCGGCAGCCGGGGGTGCGGGGAAGAGGAGAACAGCTGGGGAAGGAGGAGGAGGAGGAGGACGCAGCTGCTCTGTCTCCACCAAGAGACGGGGTGGAGCCGGGAAAGGATGGAGGGGGTGGGAATGTGGGCGACCCACGCGAGCCCCGCTGAGGCGGACCCCCGGGGATTAGGGTGGAGATGGAAGCAGCCGGGGGAAGCAGCCCAGCTGTTGTCATGGAAATGATGCAGCTTCCTCTCCAGGTTGCAAGAGCTTAAATGGAAATAAATAGATCAGTCCTGGGTCTCACCTCTCCCTCCTTCCTCCTTCCCCCCAGATGCAGATTTCTGTCGGTGACTTTTGGTCGGAGGGGCGGAGGGAGAAGCCAGGGGCGTGTTTGGGGAAGGAGGAGGAAGAGGAGCCGAAGGAGGCTGGCCAGTTTCCCCTTTTGAGGAGATGGATTTTGACTGTCAAAGAGAGCACTCAGGATGCAGGATGTGGAGCCTGCAGCCCTGACCTATTTTGTTTATATGGATTCCAGGGCCTGGGTTGCTGCACCTGATTTATGTATATCACTGAGGACGAGGTTTAGTAAACACCAGCATAAAAAGTCTTCTCTGTGAGAGGAGAGTGTGTGTAACGGAATAAAAATAAACGTGGGTTTCTGTTAAATTTGGATGTAATCTTCCTGTGCTCGGATTCTCCTCCTCATTTTCCCAGAAAAAACCTTTATGTATGCAGTGAAGACATGGAGAAAGTTGTGTTCTCTGTCCCTTAAAAATAAACATTGAATGTGTAGCTATGGAACAAGGCTTCTTGGCTTCTTAACCTTTTGTGTATCACGGAGGCACAAAGTCTTTGGCAGTCTTCTGAAGCCTAGTGACACCTAAAATAACGTTTTTAGATGCATAAAATACAATACATAAGATTGCAAAGGAAGTCAATTACATTAAAATGTTAAAAATTCTCAGTTAAGAACCCCTGCTATAGAAGCTGCTCAAAATGTACGAGGATATTTGTTCCTTTCTGGGTGAAAAAGGGCTTTGGAAAAAAAGAATTATTAATGAGTTCATGCTCGGTTCCCCTTTTTCTTATTGTGTATTGATTTGTTTTTTTTTTAAACTGAGCTTCTGAATGGTGGAAAAAAAATCACTAAAACATTTCTTAGGAAAAGAAGTAGAGAAAGCTCTCTTTTTTTTTTGGCTTGGGTTCAAATGTGTATGGAGGGTTGGTGTTAGACTGCTTTTATATTAGGAATGGTGATTTACCTTGAATGTCACTTGTTAATTATAGCATTTGAACAATATTATTTTGGGGGATGAAGGTCCAGGAACCAGGGCAATTAGGGAATGAGAGTGAGCTAATACATAACGTGGCATTCACTGATTCAAGCAAACTGTTCAGTGACCATCTATAAAAATGGTTAAAGCTTTTTGATATATGAGCCAGGTTAAAAAATAAAATTTTTCCTGGAAACAAGACCAATTTTTCTTTGATTTAAACTAGGCTTTCCCTTTAACCACAATTTAGTTTTAGGCATAGGGTCTTTTGTTTTTTGAAGGGTTTTTTCCTCCCCTGAGCTAGTTGTTACTCAAGATGTTCGTTGACTGCTTTGAGGAAGGGTTAATTGGACATAGGGGAGAGAACTCTGGTGAGAGTGGAGGATATTCTTGGTCAATTACAGGGTTCATCTATAACATGAATCCACAATTGGGGAAATGATCGTGAATATAAGAAAGTAGCAGTGGCATATTAACATGTATTTCTATACATGTCCTACCATAAAAAGGGTCATTGCTTATGGAGTACTTACTAGTTGGAAGGCCAGAACGAAGAAGTTTAAGTTTTGCCTCTGATTATCCTGTCTTAACCTCTCAGCTGGTAAAGTTGTCTTTCTAAGGCTATAAATTGCTGACTATGAGTTTCATGATTGTAGGGAATTTTCATACTGGGAGTTCCTCTTAGCTACCAGGGAGAAAACTATAAACATCTCCTCCAGAAATTCTCATAGACTTTGTAAGCAACATGTGAAAGCTCCAGAAATAATTTGGGCCAAAAATGGGATTGTCACTTTATAGGTTCTACCTTGGTTTGTGGGGTAGACTAATGTAAACATAAAAGTAAAGAAAATCCATTTGTGTTTACCTCAAATATAAAGTAAAAATTACTCAGGTATTAATGTTTTGGCACTTGGCTTAATACTAATTTATAAAATTATTTATCTTTTTATTTGTAGGTTCTATCTTCCCAACTAGATAAAACTCCCTTGGAGTTTCATCATCTTTATCATCTAACTTTTTGGACCTCTGTAATCTAGTGTAATACACACAATAGGTGCTAAATAAATTTTTGTTGCTGATTATTGCCTCTTTTGGAGCTAGTATCTGTGTGTTTTAATTCACTTTATCACAGAACTTTAATATGGTAGGGTAGGTCTTGCCAGGAGTCTTTTCAGCTATACACACAGAGATGGGAATTGTCATTTGTATTTTCATTTATTAAGAACAATAATGTGTACTGTATTATTGGGAGCAGTAGAACACTATATTGTATTTATTCCTTTACCCTGCCCCCCCTTCACCTTATCCCATTACTGTTGTGGCTTTATAGTGTTACTGTGTATGTGGAGAGAGAACAAACTCCCTGATACCATTCTCTTAGCTGACTTTTACATTCTCATGGGAGTTTTATTGTGGCTTATCCCATTTGGAGCACTGACTTGGAGTCAGCAAGAACTGAGTTTGAATCCTGCTCTACACACTTAATAGCTGTATATCCAGAGCTAGTAATTTTATTTCTGTTTCAGTTTTCTTGTCTGTAAAATGGAGATAATAATAGTACCAGTTTCAGAGTTGTGAGGATCATGTGAGGTTAACATAAAGCACTTTGCAAACCTTGAAGCACTTTATAAATGCTAGCTAATTTATTTATTCTGTGCAGTTATTTGATTCCTACAGATTAGGAATACATCTCCAGGTGTTTATGACTTAGTAAGAGAGTCACAGAATCTCAGAGTTAGAAGGGGCCTGGGAAGTTATCCAGTTCTGTCCCTTCCCAGGTGCATGGGTCTCTTATGATATTCCCACTGTGTAGTCATTCAATCTTTGCTTAAAAAGTGATGGAGGACCTGCTGTTTTTTTGAGGCAGCTCATTCTGTTTTTGTAGAGCAAAACAAAATCTGCTTCTCAGTAATTAGTCTCCGTTGATCCTGGTTTTGCCTTCTAGGGTCAGACAGAATAATGCCAATATGTCTTTTTCAGTCCCTCCAATATTTCACAGAATAATAGCATTTGAATTAGAAGGAACCTCACCGGTCATCATCTAGTGTACCCCATACCTGAAAAATATCCCCCTCTGCAACATATTCAAAAAGTGGTCATCCTGGGGCAGTTAGGTGACACAGTGGATAGAGCTCCAGCCTTGGAGTCAGGAGGACCTGAGTTCAAATGCAGCCTCAGACACTTGATACTTGCTAGCTGTGTGACCCTGGGCAATCCCTGATTGCCTCACCAACAAGCAAAAAAAAAAAAAGTTAATCCAGGCTTCAAATTTTATGAAGTTTGAAGGATTCAGACCAAAAACTGCCTCTTGAAGCAGTCCATTTGGCTTTTGGTTAACTCTACTAGCTAAGTGGTGCAGTGGAAAGACTTGAGTCTTTCCAGCCTCAGATGTTAGCTGTATGACACTTGGTGGGTTACTTAACTTCTGTTTGCCTCAGTTTCCTCATCTGTAAAATGAGCTGGAGAAGGAAATGGCAAATCACTCTAGTATCTTTGCCAAGAAGACCCCAAGTGTGCTCATGAAGAGTTGGATGTGACTGGACCAACTGAACAACAACTATTGTTGGGAGCTTTCCCCAAACCTCAGATCTGAATTTACTTCTCTGTAACAATATTCCTTTTTTCCCTACTCCCTCCCAGGAATAATCTCTCTAGGGAAAGACATTGTATTTTTCTGGAAATAGCACTGCCACTCAATACTTGTGTGATCTTGGGCAAGTTATTAGGATATTTCAGACCTTTGTTTCCTTAGCTTTAAAATAAGGGGGTTGACAGGCCATGTGTAAAATGAGGGAATTGGACCAGATGACCTCCAAGTTGCCTTCCAACTCCATAAGTCTCTGATCCTGGTTCTGCTCTGTGAGGCTTAAATAGACTAATCCCTCTTCCATGTGGGTCACCTTCAGATACTTGACCCTCATGTATCTCCTTTCCTCCAAGCTAAATATCCCCAGTTCCTTCAACCAATTCTATTTCCTGACATTGAGGCCTTTACCCATCCTGGTTGCTCTACTCTGGACCTGTTTTAATTTTCTAAAATGTGACATCCAGACCTGAACTTAGTATTCTAGATGGGATCTGTCTATCATTTCTTTATTTCTGGATGCTATGCCTCTCTTCATTATGCATTTTATTATAAAATAAATACTTTATTGTGAAATAAATATGAATTGGCTACAGCGTAGAAGTATTGAGGAATATCAAAGAACCTTTCAATAAAAGATGTCTTCAAGGGTTTGTGTAATAAGAAAAGAAGATGGGAAGAACAAGGTATGACAGGGACAGCTAGAGTGTTCTCTTGATACCCTTGCAATGTTAGGAGAAATTAAGTGTTCCAGTATGTCCAGAGGGCATGGACAAGGGACACAAAGGATGGGCAGGCATGAATGGGTTATGATCCGTATCATTGAAAGAATTTGGATTGTGAAATCATAGATTAATTTGAATACTAAGTTTTTTTCTTACTACAACCTTGGGAGACAAGTAGTGCAAATATTGTCTCCATTTTACAGATGAGTAAAGTGAAAGACTTACCCAAAGTCACATAGCTAGTAAGTGGCAGATCCAAGACTCACATCAAGGTCTTTGTGATAATGCTCCACCAATTCTTTTATTCTCTGGCCTAAGCATTTCTTGTTCCTGTGATCAGTCCTCATATGGCATGATTTCTAAGTCTCC